ATATTATACTACAGGTAGATGGTGGGCGAGTCTTCGTCCGACGTAGCTTCCATAAGTGTATCATTATAAAGCGGAGAAAAGGCGAGCGAACTTTCGTCTGGCGTAGCTTTCCTTAGTGTGCTAAGGGAGGAAGAGTGTAGGGTGAACGCTCGTTTGGCTTAGTTTCCATAAGCAAGTCATTGCTGGTTGGAGAAAAGGCAGGTGAACGTTTGTCTGGCGTAACTTCGTAATGCTTATCATAGCGGGGTGGAGGAGAGAAACGCCAGGCACTGTTGAGTGTTCGTGTTGGCACTGTTTTTATGGTCAGTGAGTACCCCCCCCCCTCTTCCCTACTCGCTAAATCATGCTAAATATTTACACTAATGAAGGATTCCACCGCCCTGCCCAACACTCAGTAACTCTGGCTTTTCTTACACAATACATCAATCCGTCCCTCACCACCAACTAGGTTAACAGGCTGACTATTGGCAAACAATACGAAAAGGTAAACGTGGAGTTGTGGTGTACGAGGACCTCACGTGTCAACTATGAGTCACAAGCTCCTGTTGTGTTGACGGTCTTAACATGTGTCTTAAGACCAGGACGAGAAGGTTTGGTTGTACAATCGCGTGTACACTTTGTATTCATTTCCGACCCATTACCCAATTGGCGAGGGTCGAGGGGAGGGAACACTGGGGGAGAATGGGGGCGGGGGGAAGAATAGGGGCGGGGGGAAGAATAGGGGCGGGGGGAAGAGAGACGGGGAGGATGGGAGGGAAGAACAACGATCGGTGAGAAAGAGAGGGTTAACAAGACTTGAAGGAAGAGGTTGGGAGAGGGAACAATGATGGAAGGAGGGAATGAGAGAGGGAGGAAGAGGCACGCGACCACCATCAGTGTGAGTTAGTCGCCAGATAACCACGCCCCTTCGCCTCTCAACAATAATCCCACACCAGAGTTGACAATCCAGCCTTTTGTTGCTACCATACCGCCAAGGGGAGATATAAGACCTCGCCATTTAAACCATGGTCGTTCTTTCAACCAAGCGACGACTCCTAGGTTTATCTGGCACCACGGGTCGTTTCTTTCCCCTGATAAAAGCGCGTAGACATTATGACAAAGGAAGCGGATAACTTGATAACACATCTCCACCCTAAAACGATTTTGTTAATTTGGTCCGGATCTCTCTAAGTCCTGAAATTGTTATCCGGACAGCTTGGTGGCAAACCTATCTACGGGAACAAACGACTCACCCTACGGCCCTGGCAGGAGGCTCATATTATATCCTAAGGAGGCGCTGAGCATTTGAAGACGAGGTCTTCACTCAAGCATAAAGGTTGTTTGTGCTCTCCCTCCACCAATATGTTTTGTTAGCCTTAAAAAAAAGTTATTCCTAGTCCTTCAAGACATTCTGTACATGCAGGTTGTTTTGTCAGGTACGAAACAAGGTTATTAAGTCTCTCTCAGTGGGTGTTAGTTGATACATCTCGCACCTTAAAAAATAAAAAATAAAAACTTGTTTTACCTTGTACCGCCATTGAACACATGAACACATTTTTAGTGTGAACTGCACACTGGATACCCAGTTAGGGTCGCATGCGGCACCCACGTTATCACTGACAATCTGGCCCTGGTGGTGGTCGACTAACCTTCTACGGCGGCGGCGGCGGGGTATCATCAAACACAGCAGCTTGCGTGTCCAACAATAACCTTAGGACGCGAGAGCTAGGCTTATAATTTTCATTCGTCCAATGTCGTCACTATATTTTCTCCATGGTCAAGACGCACTTCCTCGTAACATACAACACGAGGCTGCCATACAGTTTAGGTACAGTACAGTAACTAAAACAACTATCTGTGCAGGTGGGGGTCGATATGCTCCGAAATTTTACGTGTGACTAGTGACAGCCTTCATATACCAAAATTTATCGTCCATGGTCTCCTATTGTTCCCCACAAAGTATGCAGAGATAGTTATTTTAGCTACTGTACATATCGACAATGGCGTAATTAAAGAGATATATTACAAAATGTTGGTGATGATTTCGTCCATAATATAGTAACACAAGACAATACATTATAACCAAGTAATATACCCCAAAAAGAAACACAATATAGCCAAATAGTAAACAGATTATACGAAATTAAACACAATATAACCAAATGGTGTACCTACAACATACTGAACAGACAAACATCACCAGTAACTGTCTTCACCAATGTTTACACCCAAACCTGTAGATGTACTAATGTTTATGACTGATTTATTAAACCCCAGACATAATAAACCTAACCTAACCTAACCAAGTCCAGTAACTAGTAATACCAGATACAACTAGGACCTCCTCCCCCTCCCCCCCCGGACATACTACATTCCGCCCTGAGTAGAATGAAGTGTGTTGACTAGTAATGATCCTCGTGGTGACAAGCCCTGGACCCGCCACAGCTGACCGTCACTCCACACCCTTGCTAACTGATCTGTTTATGTTATGCCTCGTGTGTGTGTGTGTGTGTGTGTGTGTGTGTGTGCTTGTGTGTGTGTGTGTGTGCTCGTGTGTGTGTGTGTGTGTGTGTGTGTGTGCTCGGGTGTGTGTGTGTGTGTGTGCTCGGGTGTGTGTGACAACCCTTCACTCCCGCTAACCTTTCTTTTATTTTCCCTCTTCTTTTTTACCCTTTTCTTCATTCCCTATCCCCCTTCCATTACTTCTACTTACCCTTCCCACTACAACTTTTCCCTCACACCCTTCCCTCTTTTCCTTCCTCTTACACTTCTTGACACTCCCTCTCCCCTCTTCTTTTTACCCTCCTGCCCCACCCCCTTCCACCCCTCAAAGACCCAGCCTGATTCACTCTCCACCGACCTACTCTCTCGACTCGCCCGGGTGACTTATCTTTCCCCCCATCACTTTTATCTGCCACTTCCCACGGTCTACATTCGGTCTACATTCTCCACGGCAACCGGTAAACAGTATCACATTCCAACACCCCGATAATATAGTGATTTTTTTTTATATCAATAAACTCACCCAATTATTGAAGTCTTTTCGAGGAACGTGATAATTGATTCACTTGCCGGATAATTTGTAGATTAGGCACCCCGGCTTATTTCATCTGAAGATAAATTACCCTAACGTTATCTATGGGTTAGGTTAGCATTAGGGTAGTTAATCTTCAGGTAAAAATAAGCTGGGGTAGTTAATCTTCAGGTAAAAATAAGCTGGGGTAGTTAATCTTCAGGTAAAAATAAGCTGGGGTAGTTAATCTTCAGGTAAAAATAAGCTGGGGTAGTTAATCTTCAGGTAAAAATAAGCTGGGGTAGTTAATCTTCAGGTAAAAATAAGCTGGGGTGCCTAATCTTAAGTGTGCGGACATCACGGACATCACGAAGGAAAGGCAATGTGACTTACTCTGTCTCAAGTGTCAAATATGATCGATACATGCCTGGGAAAAAATGTGAAAACACCTTGTAAAACCTGAACTCAAATTCTCAAAGATTTCTGCCGTGAATTTTTCTTTTACTTGGAATACGAAGACAACATATTATTGGCTGACAGAAATTACAGCATAAAAATAACGATTAAAATAGAATAAAAACCATAGAGGCCATTTTACTTTCTATCTTCCCTTTCCATCTTTAGGAGACAACAGCCTGAAGATTATTTGTGAATCTGGGTCCAGGGTATGGATACTCAGAGGTCCAGGGTATGGATACTTTAGAGGTCCAGGGTATGGATACTCAGAGGTTTGGAATAACGTTAATATCTAGTAAAATTATCCCGCAGCGAATGGTTGTGAGGTACAGCCATTCTGCAGCCTCGGTAATGTTCGTACCATAATTTTTCCCTCCATTTACGAGGTAGGGAATACATGATAAAGGGAAACTAAATATGCATATCTTTGGCAGAGGGGAAGTCACGGGGATTAGATTAGACAATGGCATCCGTCTAATTTTCTCTCATTATATATTAAAAAACAAAACATTCACGAACTACTAGATAACAGTGATCTTATCTATAACTCCATCACTCTGAATTAACATGATACATTCCATAACATTCCTTGAAAGTTTTTAATCATTACACAAAACACGACAACCTTATGCCTAGGCCCCAATGAATCCTGACAAAGGTTCACTAACTAATCCTTCCACCACGAGATGGCAGCACATCCCGCCAGCGTCGCCATGGTAACCCGAGCAACCGTCTCCGGGCATCACAGTTTACCTCCCAAGAAACGTCATCAAGACCGTGAGCACTGCACTTCTCGGGGGATTTGTGGTAGGAAGGTAGAAGCGAGCCTTTAATGTAATCCAACTGCCGTCCTTTTTATGGTGTGATAAATCAACCATCACCAATATGATAAACTAGTCCCTCAATTAATAGTCTTGATCACCTCACCAAGACGAGTCCTCTGGCTCATAGGACTCGTCTAATCTTACACCGTCAGTAAGAGGAATCCATTGATTAAGTCTTGAGTTACATGGGACCTGACTGTACCACCACGAAAATGAAGTCTCCAGTTAACAGAATTGACTACTGGCTCACTCACTTACTCTATCCCTTCCAGCCAATCTTTAATACAGTTCTAAAAGTAAAAATAAATATCCTTTCCACTTCTTCGACCTCCTCTCGTGTATCAGCCTCCAGGTGACGGGAGAGTGAGTGAGGGCGGAGGAACATCAGTTATCTCACGTGACTAGGCCGCCAACCTTGGCTTTGCCTCCGCCCGTTACTTAATACCTGCCCCTCGCCCACCTCCCCAACTGTCCTCGTAAATGTGTTCAACCTCTTTATTTGAGAACAATAAATCAACAAATTGACAGGTAAATAAATAATATATAACTCCTCTGAGCATTAATCCATATACATTATATATCTTGTTGGTTGGTGTATTGAAGAAAAAACAACAGGACATGTGGACACCCTCAGTGGGCGAGGCTTGGCTTAACTGCTGGGAAAGGGGTGACACAGAAACTGGAGAAGATTGATTTTCGTGCAAATATTTGAGACTCTCACTACTTACCAATAGGTTGTAGATAATCATGGTGCCGTTGTTGTGGGTGTTGGAACGTGGTTGTTCTGCCCGTAGTCGCCACTGTTCACAGCCCTGTAGTCGCCAGTCTAGCCCTTTGAGGCCAATATAGCCAGTAGCAGCCAGCTTAGCAATGTAGCTGCCGCTGTCCACCATCAGTAAACCGCAACTGCAGGCAGTAGTCTGCCACGTAACTTGTGGGGCAGCGTTTCAGAAGCCCGGCCACCGACACGTCCACAGTTAGGGGCAGCAGATGGAGGACGGGTGTGTTCTAGACACCGCATGAGATAATCTGAGCCACAATCAAGCAAAAGCAACTTCTGGGGCCTTTGTAGCCCAGTAGCTTCCACTGTAGGCCTCGATAAACCCCAACAGGAGGCAGGATACGTCACACCACAGCCCACACGAAAGCACGAGGTGTGTCTTGGACGACTCTTGTGATAATAATCTGAGCTGCACCTCAGCTCGCTGGGGCCCCGGGTCTTGCACTTCTGGCATGAATACCTCTCATCATCATCACCATCCACTAAATCCCGCCGCTAGCCAACCACCACCACCATTACAGACAGACACCACCACCACCAGGTGACGCAGCTCAATCCTTTCAATTATTCCTTTTGTGGCGTCACACAGATGTATGCGTCTTAATCAACCCTCCACTCAGTGACAACATAAGGTATTTCACTCTAGATAAGGGTCATAATTTTAGACCACCTCTCCATGATGTAAAAATATCGACAAACACACACGCACACCTTTACTCAAATACCCTAAAAGTGTTTCGCACTAGTGAGGGCTTCATGTTGGCTGAGTTACCGAAAACAACACATTTCTGTTATTCAAACACTGTAAATAGGGACTGTTATACCTGACTGCCCCAGGAGCCCTTAATCTGGATGATCATCGACCAGATCATCACCTCCAGTTAACAGTTTTAAACTACCTGAAGACTGTCTTATTGACTGGTTAAAGGGATTCCCTGACATAACTACTAAAGAGTTGTGTCTCAGTGACAGTCTTCACACTACATCACATTAAGGTGTACAAAGGTGTTCGTCAGGATTAATGAACACGTTGTTACTGTATATAGTATTTAAATATTGTGTTCAACTCTATACAAGCGATCATGTACACAGGTGTTCATGTATTATACACCGAGGGCAATGTACTAAAGTAAGGGATTAATGGCGCCACATACACACACACGTCACTGTATGCCCACAGTGGCTAGATATGCACCAACAAACACAAGGTGCATTACACTGGGGGGATTGTCCCTCACACCCACTCTTCTCCGCTGATTCACATTAATAAATGTTATTATATTTTACTTATATTCACAAGTATTGAAAAAAAAATATATTTGTACAAACAATTTATATACCGTATGATGGTACGAGTGTAGGAGAAATACGTAATGCAGACACGGGCGGGTCTGTCGGAAGGAAATTGCGAGTGTCGGCGAGGTTCCAGCCAAGTAAACAATGGGTGTGTGAGCGCTCAGCTGACGACAAGCAGTACAGCGACCTCTCGCAGCCTACACACCAAGGGTCTCAAAGGTCTGTGATTTTTTTCATAACACAGGATGGGAGAACACGTTTAGTTATGACAGTTGATTCAGTTCAAGGCCATTTTATCAGCCAGCGTTATGCCGTAGCTATAGTGAGCTAGTTTCAAACATTTCTAGTTTATTGATGAGGGAGAAAATTGGAAGCACAGTTATGAACCTTTAAGAAAGTGCACTGAGTAACACCAGCGATATATACTGTCTGACATTGACTGTTCCTATCACGTACTGTTGCTCTATAGGGGGCAGCACACTTTAACAGACGAGTTTCCTGAGGCGTAAAGGAATAGTTTTATGAGTCACTGTGTGTGTGTGTGTGTACTTTACATGACTAATCCCCGACGTAATGGAGTACAACAATAAGGCACTCTTGAAGACATGTCAACACCATCATCACGCGAACCTTACCAGTACACTGAAACACACGTACACTGATGCTCTCTGTGTACAGTATACCGGTACGTGGACTTAAGTATTACACCAATACACTGATACACAACATACGTATAATGAACCAGTGTGTGTATACCTGAACATTACACATCGGGAGTGCTACACCAGGTCACTGAATCACAAATACATAAGGTCGACTCAATCACAAACACTCAGTATTGGTCACTATCCGTCCCGCCGCCACCACCTCCACCACCAGCCAGCCAGCACACCCACACGGTCCCAACATTACTGGAACGACTCGCACTCCACGACTCACACTCTAATCTTAACTCTTTAGAAGAAAAAATGACTTCCATAAGTGCAACCTGCAACTTTCTTTGCCTTTTCTGGCAGGAAGGTAAGAAACAGTAGCAGTGGTGGCGGGAGGAAAACCGCCCGTATGACTCCCTATCTCAAGTGTGGATCTCCCGAGGCGGAAAGACTGAGCTTTAGTGCCGTGTGACTCTAAGCAGTGGCCATCTGCTCTCACGGGGCGCGACGACAACATCTGCCTGAACAACGGTTAAGTCAACAATGATCGCCGCAGCCCAAGCTTAGTCTAGCTCTAACCTGTGTCGCTCAACCTTACCCGCTATAATCCTCATGTTTTGGTATTAAATTCACACTCAAGGAAGAATACACTACAGGAATATCAGAAATTAATATGCATTCTATTATAATACCCGTAAATTATTATTTTTAGGGGGGGGGAGAGAGAGACAGGTTCAAAATGAAAGAGAAACTAAAAGAAAGTTAATTTTTTCTAAGCGTTTCAGGAACATTTCTTAATTCATTTGAAACTCGTCCGCTCATACACACGCGCGCGCTCTCTCTCTCTCTCTCACACACACACACACACACACACACACACACACACCATGCGTCCCCTAACAAGCACAAACATACAAACAACAAAGCTAACAAGGACAAATCAACCAACCCCCCAACACACTCACACACCATTACCTAGTGTGGGAGAGAAGGCAGTACGTCAGCCTCCCGCCCACCGCCACCCTGACCTCTCACGTGGGTACCAGCGAACCAGGCCATGAGTGATGCAGTGAGTGGATGGATGGATGGATGGATGGATGGATAGGTGGATAGGTGGAATAGATATGTAGTTGAATGGTTAAGTAGGTGGATGGATGGTTATGCGAGTAAATCAATGGTTGAGTGGATGAATGGGTGAATCAGTAGATAGATACATACATAGATGGATGGATGGATGGCTTGATGCCTGAGTGGATGGATGGCACGATGGCTGAGTGGATGGATGGCACGATGGCTGAGTGGGTGGATGGCATGATGGCTGAGTGGATGGATGGCACGATGGCTGAGTGGGTGGCTGGCACGATGGCTGAGTGGGTGGATGGCATGATGGCTGAGTGGGTGGCTGGCACGATGGCTGTGGGTGGATGGCATGATGGCTGAGTGGATGGATGGCATGATAGATGAGTGGATGGATGGCACGATGACCTCTCCACCTGAGCACGAGAAGGCGAGGTCGATTAGTGGTGAATGCTCTCCTCAGCCCGAGGTGATGGGGTGGAAGCTCTTCTCTCCTGAGGGTGAGAGGTGAGGAAGTGGACACCCCGCCCCTCCCCTCCCCTCCACGGGTTCAGATATAGCGGGGTTGGTTACTAGACTCTCCTCCCCAGGTGTGAGAAGTGAGGGGGGGTGGACACACTCCTCCCCACGGGGTGAGGTGTGAGGGGTGTAACGTTATTGCATGCAGCGTGAGTGATCGGTGGTTGTGTGAAGCCTGAAATATTATACCAGGGTACAAGGAAGGGAGCGGGAGGTGGGGAGGAGGGAGAGCAAGGTGGGGAGAGTGAGAGGAGGGTGGGGAGAGGAGAGGAGGGGTGGGGAGGGAGGGAGAGGAGGGGTGGGGAGGAGGAGGGAGAGGAAGGTGGGGAGAGGAGAGGAGGGGGAGAGGGGAGGAAGGTGGGGAGAGTGAGAGAGGAGAGGGGGGGAGGGTGGGGAGAGGAGGAAGGTGGGGAGAGGAGAGGAGGGGGAGGAGGAGATGAAGGTGGGGAGGAGAGATAGAGGGAAGGTGGGAAGGAGAGTGAGTGGGAGATGGAGATGACGGAGAGGAAGATGGGGAAGAGGGAAAGAGGAATGTGAGGAGGAAGGGAAAAACATAAAAGACGTTGTGGAATGATTTATAACACACATTTCTACATAAGAATAATAACAGGTAACAAAACCAAAACTATATAATGATAATGATTCTACTACTGTGTAAACTCTCTAAGTTGTTAAGAGCAAACATAACAACACGTGTCCAGTAAATTACCGTTAGAGAGGATGGGAGTAATGGTAGACACGAGGGGAGGAGAGAGGTAGTGGGGAGGAGAGCGAGGAGCTGAGAGGGAAGGAGGGTGGGGAACTGAGAGGGGAGGAGGGAGAGGAGCTGAGAAGGAAGGAGGGAGAGGAATTGAAAGGGGGAAGGGGAGTGAGGAACTGACAGATGGAAGGAGGGAGAGGAGCTGAAAGGGAAAGAGGGTGGGGAACTGAGAGGGAAGGAGAGTGGGGAACTGACAGATGGAAGGAGAGAGAGAGGAACTAAAAGAGAGAAGAAGGATAAGAAACACAGATGAAAGGGAGGGGAAGAAAACGAAAAAAGAGAAGAAAACATTACGCTTGATGATGATGATGATAATAATGATGAAAAGAGGAACACAAAGAAGAGAGATAAAAGAGGAGACTGAAGAAAGAAATTAAAAGAATGGAGGGAAGAAAGAAAGAAAGAAAGAATAAGGGCGGAGGGTACTATGGAATCTAAATATTTTAAAGTTGGAGTGGAGTTATGTTGAGTGGAGCAGCTTGAGAGGCGTGTTGTTGGAGATCCGTGTTGGTCGACGTCTCTTGACAGGGCACTAAGAGGAGGAGGAGGAAGAGAGGGTGGGAGTAGGAGGAGGAGAGAGGGGAGGGGAGGAGGAGAAGGGAAGAGAGGGGAGGGGAGGAGGAGGAAGGAAGAGAGGGAGGGGAGGAGGAGGAAGGGAGAGGGGAGGTGGGGAGGAGGGGAGAGGGGAGGAGGAGGGAGAGGGGAGGAGGAGGAAGGGAGAGGGGGGGAGGAGGAGGAAGTGAGAGGGGGGAGGAGGAAGGGAGAGGGGGGAGGAGGAGGAAGGGAGATAATGTTAGGAGGGGGTGG